TATGCAAAGTATTTGTCTGCTTGTTTGCCTTTTTGATGCTGTTCATTTCATATTTGGGATTTGTTTGTTTGTTTTGTGGCAGGGATATGTTTAATAGTCCCAATTGGCTTCCAATGCACAAACCTTAATCTTGATACTACCATGCACATAGATTATGAGCATGTGCCAGTACATAGAGGGTTTTTTTTCTGCATTTGTTTGTTTGATCAAATTCAAAGGTTCTACCTTCAGTCAATATGCAAAATCACAAAAAAGAATGGAAGAAAGGAAGAAAGGAAGGAAGGAAGAAGGAAGGAAGGAGAGAGAGAGAGAAAAAGAAAGAAAGAAAGAAAGAGAGAGAGAGAGAGAGAGAGAGAGAGAAAGAAAATCCACCAGGCCTTAACTGGCCACTCTGGCTCTTCTTATTATTCACGTGTATTGAACAGTCAGATTCCACTTTTGAAGTTTGAGTCCTGACAATTTCAAGATATAGCTGTCATTTTATAGGAAAAAAATTTCAGCCCATTCTCTCTTGGTATTGAGAGAATTTCAAGTTAGGAGAAGTAGGCCCAAAACAGAATCCTCACATGAGCCTCACTGGAGATTTTCAATAATTAATATTTGAAGAGAAACCAAAGGAATGAAACTTCTGTTTTATTGTTCCTGGGTCATGTGACTCAGCCAACCCTGTCTTGGAGTCTCAGACTGAGTCATGATTGTAGATTCCAGCACAAACTGTGCCAGGACAAACTGTGGCTGACTCTCCTAAGTGGAAGGACTCTCACCTGTGTGTCTGCAAGACAGTGCCGCTCATAGTAAAGAGTTAGAATGGCTCCCCTGTATGACATAATATCCAACTGAATAGATCCAACTGAATGATTATGCCCACACAACACAGGTAACAAAATTAAAAAATGCCCTTACTATCCCTACTGATTTCATGTCTATAGATTTAAAAACACGCTACTGAAGATATTGCAAGGAAAAGCACCCACAGCATCATTACAACACAATCAAGGGTTCACTTCAAACTTAATTTTAGCCTTAGACTTCTCAAAATTGCCATTCTTTTTGGCAATTCTGGTTAGGTCTCTCTGGGGGAAGCTGTAAATATGAGAAACTTAGAAAGACACCCACCATCACTGAGGGATATCAAAGAACAATCAAAAGAAGGAATTGAGTGTGTGTCAAGTATTGTATTGAAAGACCCCAACCCTTTAGGCTTACATCCCCCAAGCCCCAGGAAATAAGGAACTAAAAAGAAAACTAGTTCCAAGGGCCACCTGACTCAGCCACTACTCAATCACCCCTGTAACAATGTAAAAAGATTTCTGTTAAGAGATGTGCTCAACTGTGACTGGGATAGTTGCAGGTGTTCCAGGAAGGACCACTGTGACCTTTGTGTAAACTCCACTCCCGCCCTGATACCCCCCCCCTTAAGGTTTCAGGAAGAATGTGTGTGCGGATGTGACTGTACCCACTCTGTGATCACCCTGTGATCAGGCCATGAAATTGTATGGGAATTATAATCTTGTGGGTTTTGTGAGTTTTTCCTTTAAAAGCACCTATGTGACTACAGTAAGATGCAGCTCTTGCTCTTAGGAGCAGAATTTTCTCTTCTGTACAGAAGCTTCAATAAAATCCTCGTGCTGCTGCATCAACTGGACTGGAGTCTGGGTTCTTGGGGCGCCCACTTGAGACCCTAAACTTTGGGGTCCAACAGTATAAGAACATACACAAAGATTATTAGAGAAAACTGCAAAGGGCTTTCATTACCTTTTGTGTCTCAAAATTAGCATTAAAATCAGAGGAACTGCACCAGTAGAAACATTAATGGAATTAAGGCATGTTAGAGCAAAAGTTACAGATGGCAGAAGGTTTCACTACATTTAAGTAGTGTCTTCTCTGCTCTTACAAAATCACCAAATGTAAAACTAGAGAAAAAAATGAATGATACGTCTTCAGTGAGACTAAGTATTCACAGTCTTAAGTACAAACTAATTTCCTGAAACATCCTGTGATGGACTTGGTTGTACATCTAACAAGCACTCAACTAAAGTTCTTAGCACTTGGTCAGTTTGACAAAAATGTAGTTTTATGGATCCTCTCTAACATAGAATATTTAACAGTGCTCCCCAAAATGGAATGAAACTGAGCCTTCACTGAGTAGAATCTGTGGTTGATATATTGTGTACACCAATAAACTTATCTGGGGGTCAGAGACAGAACAGCCACTATCTTAAACATAGGTTTAGGCAGTGGTAGCACACACCTTTAGTCCTAGCATTCCGGAGGCAGAGATCCATCTAGATCTCTGTGAGTTCAAAGCCACACTGGAAACAGCCAGGCATCGTGACACATGCCTCTAATCCTAGGAAGTGATGGCAGGAAGCAAAAAGGTATATAAGGTGTGAGGACCAGGAACTAGAGCCCTTTTAAGCTTTGAGGTGTTTAGCAGCAGTTCAGCTGAGATCCATTTGGATGAGGACTCAGAAGCTTTCAGTTTGAGGAAACAAGTTCAGCTGAGGAATTGGTGAGGTGAGGTTGGTTGTGGCTTGTTCTGTTTCTCTGATCTTTCATCATTCACCCCAATACCTGGCTCTGAGTTTTTTATTAATAAAACCATTTAGCAATTCATGTTACAAGAATCTATTAGAAAATACCTTTTTAAATCAGAGATGGTTTATCCCCCCATCTCCATTTAAAAATCCAGTTTGAACTATTGTTATATCTATAAAGAAAAGATGCCTGACAGATTATTACTGCAATGCTGGCATCATAATAATAAGGGTAGGATATAGTACATGTTATAGTACATATATAGCACATTTGTGGTTTATTCTACAGGATGAATATGCATGTACTTTTCAGAAGTGTGTCAATACATACTCATTGATGGTGTGCTTACCACTGAGAGGCAGTGATGCCTGGCAGAATGGAGCCAATAAATGAGGTGAACTAGTCTGATTCAATAGCCAGCTTTATTCAGAGCGTCAGATTATTTATACTCTGAGGGTTAAGGAGAGTCACCTGAGTAAAGTGTACATGAGCAAGTTGCACATGGCAAAACATGTTCTTTCACAGAGGCATATAAACAAATAACAATAGCCACTTGTAATGAATACTCCTGAGTAAACTCACTCCTATCTGCTACACCTGGGAAGAGCATGAAAATACATTGAAGAACAAGTCTGTGTTTTAAAGAAACTAGGATCATAAGATTCTTGTCTTGGTTTCTTGGAGGTTACTCATAAGCACTCAGAATTCTCCTTGTAGGATTCCATTCTTGGACCGTGTCCTGATACTGGTGCTTGTGTTGTTGCTGTTGTTTTTCTGACTCGACTTTAAATCTAGATGTCATCCAAACTAAATGCTGACAAGGAATGCAAAACTCCGTGGTTTGCAGTGTGAGAACCATTCCCCTACTACTATTATACATACAAAGAGTAGGGATAATGAAGGAAAACCAAATATCTGAGAGAAGATTCACATAATCAAAGACTAAATTTCAGATAGATGTATTGCCTTTGTTCTTATTTTCTATAGAAAAATAAACACTAAAGATATAAGGAGGAAAAGATTAGGAAAGGTGTATTTTGCTCTGACTCTGCAAATGCCATCTCTCTGAATAAAAGCACACTGTAGACATTCCATTGTCCTTAGATAATTAAAGTCCTAAATATGGCAGAATATGTCTGTTCAATATTACATTCGGCACACTTGACATAAGAATTTCTCAAAATGATCAATAATGGTGTGTAGTGTTGACTATGAGTGACATTCAAATAATGGGATAATTAATCAACTTTTGATGCCATAACAAGACATCTGATACTAGTTAATTTATATTTTTAATATTTTACTTAAATGGCTCAGCAGCTAAAAGTGTGTACTACTCTAGCAGAGGAACTATATGTAATCATACTTTTCTTTAGGCCACCAGATCACAAATAATGCCATGGAGACTTATTAATTATGAAAGCTTGGCCTTAGCTTAGGCTTGTCCCATGAGCCATTATAACTTAAATTAACTCATTTATATGAATCTATGTTCTATCACATGGCATTACTTCTCTTCCATCTTGCACCTCCTATTTCCTCTCTGGGTATTCTAGGGTCTCCTGAGTGCCTAGACTCCTCCTCCTCTTCCTTTCTCTCCCTGAAAATGCCATTGGTTGTTCATCTTTTGAATTACACCAGTCATAGCAATGCACTTTCACACAGTGTACAAATATTGCACAACACCCATGTTCAGTTTCCAGCATCCACATCAGGCAGCTCACATCTGTCTGTTAACTCCAGGTCCAGGTGATCCAATCACTTCTTTTGGCCTTCCTGGGCACTTGTACTCACATGCAGAAACATAATCACACACAAATATACATATAAAAAATAAAAATAAATATAAAAAATTACTTAGCTCATAGTTCTAAAAATTGGCTATCCAAGATTGAATGGAGCTGTGTGAATAGCCTTTGATGGATGCCTTTTCACTGCATCATAACATAGAAGGTGATGTGTGTAATAGTGGGTATGAGAACCACATTACAAAAGAGAAGAAAAAGGCCAGAGAAGGGAAGGTTCATTCTTTTATAAACACCCAACTGAGAATTAATCCACCCCTAGAAGGACAATGTAATTCCTTCCCAAGTATATACCTTCATAGCCAATCAGTTTTTACTAGACCTTATAGATCAATAATGTTCAATACTATTGGTTCTGGCACACAAAAGTTTAGGGTACATACTGCAATCATAGTCAACCTACACCAGGAAGTAAAATACAGAAGTATATCATATGAGGCCAAGACCACATAGTCTAATAAGATCTATGGAACTTATACATACATACACACACACACACACACACACACACACACACACACACACACCTATTCACATACACACCATGATTTATCTCTAAATAAGACCAAATACGGAACTTTCATCAAGCAGTTCTATACAAAAATCTATTATTTATTATTTAAAGTGATTTAATGTAATAATTGATTTTAAAAGTACCTGGGGTAAAAACCATTTCATTAAGCAAACTGGTCACATTATGGCCATGGTCTTGAAGAATTTGTGACAAACGGTTCATCATTATATAATGGCTTCCACCTAGAAATAAAACATAAGTTCAGCTTTGTGGAGACTAATGAAAAGATTTCTGATTATCTGAGATAGCTGGCATAAAGAAATTCAAAAATGTGTGTAAATACATAGAAAGATTCACAATCCATAGAAGAAGCTAGCTCTTGCATGCCCTCAATACATTTTAGGTAATACCCAAGACATGAACACAGAGCTTTGGCCAATAGCAATCCTCCACTAAAGATAGGAAGGTCATACTGAAGAGATGGCTCAGCAGTTAAGAGCAGTTGCTGCTCTCACAGAGGACTTGGGTTCAATCCTCAGCACTTACATGATGGCTTACAGCTATCTGAAACTACAGTTCCAGGAGACTCTTCTGGCCTCCATAGGCATTTCATGCAGATGATACTGTTGCAGAATATTTGTTTAATTGTGTAAAAATGTGTTGCATTTGTTTAACTATGTAAAGATGTTTTGGTGCTTTACCTTGCCTGCCTAGGGCACCTGATTTGTCTAATAAAAAGCTGAATGCCCAATAGTGAGAGAGGAGGTATAGGCAGGACTTCCAGGCAGGGAAGTAGGAAGAAACATTTAATCTTGGAGAAGAAAGAAAAAGAGATGCCAGAGAGACCCCAGGGGTCAGCTAAACAAACACAAAGGAAGTAGGAGAGTAGAACATACAGAATGAAAAAAAAAAGGTAAAAAGCCCCAAGGCAAAATGTAGAAGAATAGAAACAGGTTAAATTTAGTTAAAAGAGATAGTGGGACAAGCCTAAATTAAGGTCGGGCATTCATAATTAATAATAAGTCTCTGTGTCTTTATTTGGAAGCTGGTTGATGGTCCAAAGAAAATGCCAACTACAAATGGTGCCCAAATTTCCACATAGGGTCTGAGAAAGATGAAAAAAAAAAAAAAAAAAAAAGCATATGGCTCCCTAAGAGGTGCTGCTGTGCAGCAGAGCACATGAGCAGCTCGCACACTAAGTAGAAATAGCAAGCTAAGTAAAAACACCTGCCACAGTTCAGGCACTAGCTTCCTAGAGCTGGAGCAGTTAAATACAGCCCTTGGTTAAACACAACACCCAGTTAAATGAAGCTTCTGGCCAGGCCCATGGACTTAAGGCTCAGCTCTTTCTGAACCGAGGAAGGGGCAGAGTTAACCACCAGAGCTGCCCAGCAAAGGACATAGGTGCCACTTAATAGTTTAAGGTTTGACTCACCCAGTCACAGAATGCTATAGGTGCACAGTGAAGCAGGTACAAACTGAAAAAAAAACTTAAAATAGATTACAGTGTGCATAGGTGCTTAAGAAAGAAAAGAAAATGAATATAGTCCATTATAAGAAATAATAGTTTAAAAATAATTAAGTAAAGTCTTTTAATCTTCTTTTTTTTTATTAAGAGATTTTCTATTCATTTTACATACCAATCACAGATTCCCTTGTCCTCCCTCCTCCCGTCCACCAGGCTTCCCCGCCAACACACCCCCCATTTCCACCTCCTCCAAGGCAAGGTCTCCCATGGAAGTCAGCAGAGCCTGATTTTTGAAGTATGACCTGATAATTCTCATTGTCTGTTGTTATATCTCCCTTTTCATTTCTGATTTTGTTGATTTTGATTCTCTCTCTCTCTCTCTCTCTCTCTCTCTCTCTCTCTCTCTCTCTCTCTGCCTCTGCCTTTTGGTTAATTTGGATAAGGGCTTGTTTATCTTGTTGATTTTTTTTCAAAGAACCAACATTTTGTTTTATTGATTCTTTATATTGTTCTCTTTGTTTCTATTTCATTGATTTCAGCCCTCAATTTGATTGTTTTCTGGTGTCGATTCTTTCTGGGTGAGTTTGCTTCTTTTTGTTCTAGAGCTTCCAAGTGTGCTTTTAAGTCACTAGTGTGAGATATTTCCATTTTCTTTATGTAGGTACTTAGTGCTATGAATTTTCCTCTTAGCATTGCTTTCATAGTGTCCCATAAGTTTGGGTATGTTGTACTTTAATTTCATTGAATTCTAGGGAAAAAAATTCTTTATTTCTTCTCTGACCCATTGGTGATTCATTTGGGCATTGTTCAGTTTCCATGAGATTGTAGACTTTCTGTAAATTTTGTTGTTGTTGAAATCTAACTTTAAGCCATGGTGGTCTGATAAAATACAGGAGGTTATTTCAATTTTTTTTGTATCTGTTGAGTTTTGCTTTGTGACCAAGCATGTGGTCAATTTTTGAGAAGGTTCCATGGGGTGCTGAGAAAAAGGTATATTCTTTTGTGTTAGAGTGGAATGTTCTGTAGATATCTATTAAGTCCATTTGAGTCATAACTTCTGTTAGGTCTCTTATTTCTCTGTTAAGTCTCACAGATCTATCCAGTGGTGAGAGTGGGGTGTTGAAATCTCCCACTACTAGTGTGTGGGGTTTGATGTGTAATTTAAGCTTTAGTAATGTTTCTTTTACAAATGTGGGTGCCTTGTATTTGGGGCATAAATGTTCAGAATTGAGACTTCATCTTGGTGGATTTTCCCTGTGATAAGTATGTAATGTCCTTCCCGATCTCTTTTGACTGATTTTAGTTTGAAGTCTATTTTATTAGACATTAGGATAGCTACACCAGCTTGTTTCTTAAGTCCATTTGATTGGAAAGTCTTTTCCCAGCCTTTCACTCTGGGGTAGTGTCTGTCTTTAAAGTTGAGGTGTGTTTCTTGTATGCAGCAGAAGGATGGATACTGTTTTCATATCCACTCTGTCAGCCTGTGTCTTTTTATAGACAAATTGAGACCATTAATATTAATGGATATTAATGACCAGTGATTGTTAATTCCTGGGGTTTTTTTTGTTGTTGGTAGTGTTGTGTGTTTCTCTTCTTTGGTATTTGTTGGTGTGGGATTATCTATTAACTGTATTTTCATGGTTGTATTAAACTTCCTTAGGTTGGAATTTAACTTCTAGTGCTTTCTGTGGGGTTGGATTTGTGGATGGGTATTGTTTAAATCTGGTTTTATCATGGAATATTTTGTTTACTCCATCTATGTCAATTGAGAGTTTTGCTGGATATAACAGTCTGGGTTGGCATCCATGGTCTCTTAGTGTCTGCATAATATCTGTCCAGGACCTTCTGGCTTTCAGAGTCTCCATTGAGAAGTCAAGTGTTATTCTGATGGGTCTGCTTTTATATGTTACTTGGCCTTTTTCCTTTGCAGCTCTTAATGTTTTTCTTTATTGTGTATGTTTAGTGGCTTGATTATTATGAGGCAAGGGGTCTTTTTTGGGATCTAGTCTATTTGCTGTTCTATAAGCTTCTAGTACCTTCATAGGCATTTCATTCTTTAAGTTGGGAAAGTTTTCTTCTATGCTTTTGTTGAATATATTTTCTATGCCTTTGAGTTGGTATTCTTCTCCTTCTTCTATCCCTATTATTCTTAGGTTTGGTCTTTTCATGATGTCCCAAATTTCCTGGACGTTTTGCGTTATGACTTTTTTGGCTTTATTGTTTTCTTTGGCTGATAAATTTATTTCCTCTATTGTATCTTCAATGCCAGAGATTCTCTCTTCCATTTCTTGCATTCTGTTGGTTATGCTTGCATCTGTAGTTCCTGTTCATTTACTCAGATTTTCCACTTCCAGCCTTCCCTCAGTTTGTGTCTTCTTTATTGCCTCTATTTTAGTTTTCAAATCTTGAACTGTTTCTCTCACATATTTAATTGCTTTTTCTTGGCTTTCTTTAAGGGATTTATTGATTTATTCCAATTTTTTGTTTGTCTTTTCTTCGAATTCTTTAAGGGTAGTTTTAATTTCCTCGTTAAAGGCCTCTATCATCTTCTTAAAGTCATTTTAAGGTCTATTTCTTCTGCCTTGGGATGTTTACGTCTTGCTGATGTAGCACCACTAGGTTCTGATGGTGCCATATTGGTCTTTATGTGGTTGACTGTATTTTTACACTGGCATCTACACACCTCTTCCTCTACTCTGTGAAAGTGGTATCTATCTGTGCCTGAGGAAGCCTCTTTTGATCTGATTGATATTCTTGGTGTAATGGGAGCTCTTGGTCTAATCTGGGCTCTTGGTCCAATCAGTGCTAATGGATTCTGTGTCTCAGGGAGCAACTCTTAGTTCAGTGGTCACCATTGGGCTCTGTCTCAGGGAGCAGCTATTCCCAGTCGTGCAGGGTGGGACCTGTTTTCTATTCCCAATTGGTGCAGGGTGGGCTTATGCCTCTGGTTTTTACTAGTGTCACGGGGGGGCTGTTTTCTTGGTGAGGGGGTGGGCAAAGGGGCAGCTGGCCAGTCCCTGGGGCTCCAATGGCTTGGGGGAGGGGAACAGAATGTGACCTCAGGGCCTAGAGGCTAGGGACCTGGTCTGCCCAGTCTGGAGATGGGGCCTTACCTGTTCCCAATCGGTGCAGGGTGGGCTTATGTCTCCTAAGTAAAGTCTTTAAAGAGAAAGTGAAGTAATATAAAAAATTAAGCCATGTAAAGATGAGAAATACACAGGGAGTCTGGTTCCTGTATAGTATTTTGTTGACTAAATTTTTTTAATGCTGATGAGCAAATGACAGCTGCTGAGAGGCACAGACTGTGAAATGAGTTGCTGAATTAAACAGCCTAGATACTTTAGGGATGTTTTAACTTTGAAATGGAATTCAGAAAATGTATTGTGTTGGGGGAGAGGTTATATTTTTGTTTCCATGGGAAATTAAAGACTTAGAATTCCTTCAAAATTAATAGGGACAAGATTTGGTTGGGGGAGACCCCCTGAAAATCTTGGCTACAGACATAAAGAAATAAACCTAGAAAATTTCAAGACAGGTGACACATAAACTGATCCCTTGACATGGAAACAGTTCTGAGACTGAATGAGACATGAAGATCTTGTTGGTTATAGAATCATCATGACTTATTATTGCATGCCATCCTTTCAGATGGCATGGATAGAGATTTGGTTATACAATCCAAGCAAACCTATAAAGTTAACAGATGTCTTTTACCTGCTCAAGCACAAAACATAAAACATCATCTTTGGCAGGCTTTTGTAAAATACAGAATCCATACTTGTGTTACTATAAATATGTATGTTACCTTTGAAAGTTTGTGTGTTTTCAGAGCAAGGAGACCAGACACCAATGAAAATGGGTGGACTAGGTGATCCTGCCTTCCAGAGTGCCTCTGTTGCAGTTCCCTCAGAGTTCTACATTCAGACCAGCTTCAAGGCAGTTAGCTGAGATGCTCAGACTCACAGACTATTCTAATCAGAACTTCAGATAAGCCTTGTACTTTCCCATTACACAGAGACTAGACAACAAGTGCTATAGCTAGTTTTCTTAGAACTTGACCATTTTCTCAATTTTCTTAGGATTCCCTAGTGATGTCATCACCCCAGACAACAGAAAGCAGTCTAGATAAGACAATGCCTACATTCCCAAGAGGTGGGGTGGGTGAGTTTTGGTCATTTGGTAAGCTATGGATGTTTGTCATCAGTTAGTGGCTATATAGAAATAAAGGATAAAAAGGCAACTATTAATATTAATAATCTCAAATATTTTGCATTGGTATGGATTTTTGTATATCGATACAAATTTAAGGTTATTTTTGTTATGTCATATGTACATTTTTACTCTTGCTTAAAGTATTGTACCTATGCAGCACATTTAAAAATGTAATCTGAAATTCTAGTTCTTGAAAGCTATTATTACAAACTGTTTAGGATAACTAAAAATGTATGTTAGCAGTTAGTTATCTATAACAATCAAACTTGTAGTCATGTTAGGTATATTTTCAAGATTAAACAGATATATTTCAGATACATAGGCCATCTTCAAATGCTTCAGAGACATACAGAATATGGCTTAAGATGTTTAATAACCTAAGGCTTTGATGACAGTTAGACACATCTGCTCCTAGCAGAACCAATGTACTTCGTAAAAGGATGGTAGGCATCAAAAACCTCCATATGGAGTTCACTTTTTTGTGGCAAAGCTAAACACTTAAGAAACTGCCCTTGCTTTAACTGCTAACAGTGTACTATACAAACTGGACAAGCAGGACACAAAGAAAAAATACTGCTGAACTTTGCCAAGACTAGATAGGACAGTCCTTCAAAATTTTGGCTTCACAGAAAAGTCTGTCAGATATTCTAGGCATATAGGCCAAAGATGGATGCCCCAATGTTGCAGAGGAACCTTGGATGACTGTCCAGGCAGCCAGCTGCTTCTGTCATTTCTATACTTTTGGATGATGCTTGCTCTGAACTTCCTGTTTATTCAGATAATATTATTTCTTCCTCAGGTCTCTGATGGAGTAGAAGATGAGGTAGTTACAGATACAGTTTTCTTTGTAACCAAATTCAGAAAAGAAACTTAGATAAGAGACATAAAAGTTCCTAAGGTTGAGAAACACAAAAGCTTAAATTGTTTATCTAAGAAAATGTTTTGAGGTCTAAAAAGACAGTTTTGGGCTGGTAATACAAGTTAGGATAGAAAGTAAATCAGGTACACAACTTTGGACTCACCAAGATAGGTTAGATAACAAAGTATTTTCTCTGAATTTGCCAAATACAAATGGACTGGACATTGTAAATGCAATTCTTACTTGATAATTGTTGTTATTGTATATAGTCTTACTATGTTAAAGCTAAAACTTTTCTTTGTATTTAGACAAAAAGGAGGAAATGTTGTGGAATATTTGTTTAACTATGTAAAGAGGTGTGGCACTTGTTTCATTATACAAAGATGTGTTGCTTTTTACCTTGCTTTCTTAAGTCACCTAATTGGTCTAATAAAAAACTGAATGGCCAATGGAGGAGTTATAGGCAGGACTTCCAGGGAGGGAGAGTAAGTAGGAGGAGGAATTTAGGCTTGGAGAACAAAGAAAAAGAGAAAACAGGGAGATACCATGGGCCAACCAGCCAGACATAGAGGAAGTAAGAAAGAAGGACATACAGAATGAAAAGAGGTTAAAAAAAAAAAAAAAACCTGAGACAAAACAGACATGAATAGAAACAGGTTAAATTAAGTTAAAATAGCCAGTGGAACAAGCCCAGGCTAAATGCAAGCATTCATAATTAATAAGAAGTCTCTGTGTCTTTATTTTGGAGCTGATTGCCAGCCCAATGAAAACAACAACTACATAGTACACTTATATATATGTAGGCAAAACACTCAAAAACATAAAATAAAAATAAATGAATCACTTTTAAACATCTGAAGATTCCCATTCTCCCATTCTTGATGTAATGAGCTACTCTGCTTGGACACTCTATGTCCTGGGGTACATGTATATTTTCCACTGTGTCTTCCCAACACTGCAATCATTGGGTTGCAATAGAAAATACATCACAATATGATGGCTGATATCTTTTGAGTGAAAAATTTTCATGGATACAGAAGCCCTCACTTAAGAAATTTCTCTTATTGGACCTGAATTTGTATCTTTTTAAATAAAAGCATTGAGGGTTATCATGAGGACTCAACTAGTCTAGGGTGCTCATGAAGAACATCAGATGCATGAGAAGCTGGGGCAACATATATTCTCCAGCAATCCTGGAAATATGATCCTTAGGAAAGGTACACATATCTGTAGTTGGATTTTTTCTTTGGGCAGCCAGCTCAGAAATACTGACACAGAAGCTTATTATTAATTATGAAAACTAAGCCTTAGATTAGGCTACCCACTAGCTCTTCTAACTTAAATTAACCCCTGTACAATAACCTACATTTTTGCCTCGTGGCTTTTTACCTTTCTTTCATTCTATATGTCTGATCCCCACCACCACCAATGACTCATTGGCATTTCCTCTGTACCTTGATTATCTCCTCCTTCTTCCTCTCTCTGCCTGCAAGTCCTGCCTATACGTCCTGCCTAGTTATTGGACATTCAGCTCTTTATTAAACCAATCACACCAATGTATCTTCACACAGTGTACAAATATCCCACAACAAATATCACCACACCAATAGCTTCTCATTGGCCACAATTACTTTAGAACTTCAGTTTTGAGTCCAGAGCTGAAGCAGAAAAGATAAATTAAGAAAAGAAATTGGAATTATATAACAAAAGCTGGGAGGTCAGAGTGACTGGGAGATATCAAAGCACCATGATTAAATTGGGGCAGAGCTGGAGAAGTCAGGGAAGTTGAATCTATATGTTGTGTGAAACACTCTTCTCATTCACATTTGTGTTGTCTGAAAGAATACAACCCAGATAAAAGCCCACCACCCCTCGAGTTCCCTGCTCTTGTGTGGTTTGGTCTGTTTGTGGGGCCCCTGGCAGTGGGACTAGGATTTATCCCTGGCTCATGAACTGGCATTTTGGAGCCCATTCCCTATAGTGGGATACTTTGCTCAGCCTTAATGCAGGGGAGAAGGGCTTGGTCCTGCCTCAACTTGATATGTCAGGCTTTGTTGACTCCCCATGGGAGGTCTTACCCTACCTAAGGAGTGGATGGGGGTGGGGTGGGGGGAGATGGGGGGAGAGCAGGAGGAGAGGAGGGAGGGGGAACTGTGGTTGGTATGTAATACGAAAATAATTAAAATTAAAAATTAAAAATAAAAAAAGGAATGTGTGATTTCAGAAAAAAAAATCACCCCTCAGAAATTTAGGATAAGTCTCTGAATGTTCTGCCCCTGACACTGAGGAGGTTCTGGGATTCTAGGGCTTAAGGGTACATCTAAATGTTCGTCCCCAGTCCTACGTGATGATTATTTCCACAGCAGTTAACAGAAAACTGCTTTCCATAAAATTATCATCTGCCAGGTGATGGTGGTGCATGCCTTTAATCCCAGCATTATTATTTGGTAATCAATCACCAAAAATAAAATAAAATAAAATTCTAAATGAGTCATCCAGCTTGACTTGCTTTAACTTAACTTTTAAAAATCATTAATTTTAGAAGTCATGGAGCACAACATGTGAGTTATTTTCTGACAACCTGTTTTGGGGTAATATCTATTATGAGTGTATTGTGATCACACATTACAAATTGTCTATGTTCCTTTACAGAAGCTTGAAGGTTACTTTTATTAAAATCTTGATGCCTTACTGGCACCCGTAGTTATCCAATAGAGGATTGAAATAGGATAACACATTCACCAACTCTGCCTTCCTGTTATATCTGTGTCCTTTCCAGCCCTGATCCTTGTGTCACATCCTATTCAACTATGAATGCAACCACGTTAACAACTGAAAAAAGTGTTTTCACAAAGCCTATATATGGGTTTAATGTGGTCTGTTGCCTTTGGTACTAATATGTATTTCCCTTACCCACCCCTGACTTGTATCATTGATTCATGTATATAAAGCCCTACCCAATTATTATGAGCCTCAGACCAAACAATGGCGTCAGAACATTTGTGGTGTTCAGAGTAACATAGCAGTTCCTACAGTAAGATGATGCCCTAGTGGCATGCAAACTTCAGTGACTGGGTGCTTATACGAAGAAGAACATCTGTTGAAACCAAAAATGTTTATGGATGTTAACCACCTCCCCACAGAAAAATCAAGAAATGCTCACTGTTCAATGTTGTGGAGGAATAGACTGATCACTTTGACTAATATGCCTCCCATCTACTTACAATCTAAAGTCTCAGTAGAAAAGCCTTTCTTGTCTTCCTTACAATATACCACTCAGTGTCCTGCTCCTATTTCCACAACAGATGCTATTTCCACCTACTATTTATCCCCACTCTTTAGTAGAATTCCATCTAAGCACCACATTGCACAACACATCCTTCCTCCCCTGGGTTTGATCTAAGCCTAGCTAAAAAATCTCCTGAATAGTCAGTCCACTGCATGCTATTTGCATGAGACATATTAACCCAGGTATCCTGATCTCACAAGATTCTCAGAAAACACTCACTCAGTGTAGACACAGTCAGGATTTTTGCAGCATCCAAGAGAAGAACCTCAAGGAGAAATAAGCTCACTAGAAGCCCAATCCGATGCCCAGCCATCTGTAAAAACAAGTGGAGCACAGGCACAGGATGCACAGCTTGAGAACTGTGTGCCACTAAGGGACCCTGTGAGCCTCTGTCACAAAGCACTAGCTGTGGCCTTGAAATGAGGTAAAAGCGGAGTTGTTATTCTGATCTTCCAAATGTCCTCTTGCTCTTTGCCTTGTCTCTGCTGGTCTCTTTCCATTGGATATTCTTTTTCACCCTCCTTAGCCAGAGTCAATAGAGGAACAGGGGCTGAGTTAATATTTACCTTGTCCTTTAGCCACAATATCCTCTTTACTGGCCCTAAATGACTCTCTAAATTGTGAATGAAGGGACCCTGAGAAATCCTGTCAATGCCAGCATCTTGAAGTGACATGTACCATGAACATGTTACAAGCCCATTCCCTAACATACAAGACTCTGCCTCCTCTGTCATTTCTCTATTTGTGTCCGATTGCCATATCTGTAACCCATTATGCCAGGTGCCAGTCTTAAAACCTCCAATAGTGGCAATCATAAGCTAATGATCCAGGAAAACACCTAAGATTATTGCCCAATGCCTCTCACTAGTCACAAATTCATGAAAATGTGCTAGTGGCCTAAGTGAAGGACTTTACCTGAAAGACAAAAAAATTAAGATTGAACATTGGTTCTGAATGAACATCATAAAACAGAATGGAAGTATGACACCATCTTACCTAGAGCAAGCTCGGGACTGCTTCCAATTCTGGCACTTATCAATCAACCCAAGAGGAAGGAGCACACTGCCTATGCAGTCATCCTCACATTCTATTCAAACACTAAACAGCTTTAGCGACGTTTCCCAGTATAGCCTCAAAGCAGGAAGAGAATCTGCTTCATTAGCTTCAAAGCATGTAGGAGAACACAGCTTTGAATTCTGCTTTGCAAAATGGTGTCTTGTTGTAGAGTGCCGTGCACGGCCGTGCCTCAAAGATGGCTACAGCGTCTGGCTTCCACCTTCCCGATGGCAGGTGCTCCTTATTTGGCTAAGGCTAGGATCTGGCTTGCTTGCGAATGTCTGACCCTATCGGCATTGTCCACGTGGCACTACGGGGTTGGTTGCCCAGTGGCTATAAAGGGCGTGGGCTGGCTTTCCCCAGGAGGAGAAGGAGAAGAAGAAGATGGCTTTCCCCGGGGGTCAGAAGATTGTCTCAAGGTTCTTGAATAAACTGCTTGGAGAAGAGCCTGGTGTTGCGTCTTCCTTGCTGGTCGAGGCGGACGCGACATCTTGTGTCTACAAGTCGTTACCTGTGTCTGAGTTTAAGCATTGCATTTGTATATAATCATGCACTTTTCATAGTCATACAACTGAAGAGACAAAAAAGGAGGAGTAATGTGAGAAAAGGGACTGCACTGTTCTTTACAACAAATCACCAGCCAATCTATTGTCCTCATACTTCTCAAATGTGTTAATGTGATGGTTAATTTCATTGTTAACTTCATTAGATTAAAGGATACTCAGATAGCTGGGAAAGATTTATTTCTGGCTATTGAGATTGCTTCCAGATGGCAGTAGCTTTTGAATCAGGGAAAAGAGTAAGGAAATTCCATCTTCACCCAAAGGGTCTGAGCACTGTCACATCTGCTGAGGCCTAGAAGTAAAAAAATAAAACATAAACGTAGATTCTCTCTTCCTCCCTCTTCTGGAGCTAACACACCCATCTTCACCTCACCTCCAACATCAGACCTCAGGACTGGGAAATTGGTTAGGTACATGAAGCACCTGTGGACCTGAGTACAGATACCCAGTACTCATATAAGGAGATAGGCAACTATCATCCCAGATCCAGAACAGTAGAGATAGGTACATCCTGGGCTTGCTGGCCTGACAGTCTAGATTATTTGGCAAGCTCCAGGTCCAGTGAAAGACCCTGTCTCAAAAGTAGGGTGAGCACTATAAAGGAAGACACCTAATAATACCTAGTGTCAACCTCTGCCTTCCACATACATGGTCACATATATATGTATGAAGTGTCACACTAATATAGACACACAAACCCACACATATCACACACAAAGATCTCTCTCTTTTTTGATCTCTGTCACATACACACACACACACACACACACACACACATATACAAAGACATGAATATGGGATGAAGACTTGCAAAAGGAAGGGAAGTAGATGACAGGATAGAAAGCATAGAGGAGTAAGTGACTAGGATGCATTATACATGTTTAGAAAGTTGTATATAAAAACTTTCAGGCACTGCATTCCCAGCTACCAACCTAACGAAAATATTTTTATGCAGAAATATTTGTGTGCATTTGTGTGTGCGTGCATGTACAAAACATTTATAACATGTTATTTTTTAACTACACAAAACTATAAATAGCCTAGACTCTATCAAGAGAAAACTAAATGAGTTTACTGTGACAATGCACACAATAGAATATGACTAAAAAATACAATGAAATATTCACAAACATTATGAATGAATCTTTACATAATAACTTTTGTTTAAAACAATACAATAAAATCAAAGTTATAATACCATTTATACAAAACCCAGAAGATAAAAACTAACATAGTAGCATTATTTACTGACCACTAGTGTCTATTGTAAAGTAAGATGGCCATCGGCAAAAATTATGAAGTGCTATGGAATAGAAATCTTCTGTGATGATAAATTTTCATTGTGTTCAGAGATATAAATATAGATAGATATATGTATAGTTATTTGTTTTAATTATGATGAGTTTTTCAATAATAACCCAATAAAATACTTATAAAAATGAAATGTGACCAAAAGGAAGTAATAGACAGATTTGTGTTTTAGATGACTAAAAACAAAACTAGAAACACTATCTGGAGAAAATGTTATTCCCTCATTTTCATTAGGAAGTACAGGACACTCAGTACTAATTGGACTCAGTTTTCAGAATTTGGACCATAGAGGAATATTCAAATCTGGCCAGGCTTTCTCCCTCAGTGAGATGACCGAATTCAGATTTTAGGAAGGACCTGACATCTGGCTGGAATGTACAGAACAGAATAGCAAGGACATAGTGATGCATGACAGAACAGAGTGCTGTGTGAGAGGGACAAAGTCTAGAGTTGGAGATTTCCTAGAAACAGTCAGTCCTAACATTCCAATCCCTCCTCAGTTCATTAATTCATCAACGATTAAGAAATAGTCAAGTGGAATGCTGTCCAGAGGGTACACATGGTCATTCTCTATGCCCTCATACTGTTGATTTACAGAAGTTTCAACTGGCTTGAAGCATTTAACATTGTGATTCTGACTTCTGTTATTCAGACTCCTATGGCTCCTCTCTCCCCCTCTCTCTCTCTCTCTCTCTCTCTCTCTCTCTCTCTCTCTCTCACACACACACACACACACACACACACACACACACACACACACACACACGTCCACATACAAAACCTTGACTAACATTCATGGTGCTTGAAAATACACTCCACACTACCAGAGGAGAAAGTTATTCATCAATATCACCCAGCTACAAAACCTGAGACCTGAAACAGTAGCCTGCCTACAATACTTGTATAACAGTGGTACAAATGTTAAGAGAGTAACCAACTATGCTTTAATTTGGGTTTAAGTACCACACCATGAGAGAGAACACATACCTGACACTGCTAAAGTACCCAAGAACATGAGACTAGGTAGGCCATGGGTCTAGGGGAAAGCCTAATACTATTATTCTGTTAAAGGAACATACAGTAAAATGACTCCTAATGATGTATACTATACTCATAGGTCAGTGCCTTGCTCAACGTTCATCAGAAAAGCTTCTTGTAGTGGATGGAAATTAACTCAGAGACTCAACAACTGGACAATGTGCAGAGAGTAAAAAACTTTGCGGCACCTAGTCCTACATAGGTTATCTTCACCAAACCCTTCCCATCAAGGCTCAGGTATCTATGCATAAGAAGAGACAAAAAGAGTGTAAAAGCCATAGCTGGTGGATGACTCCAAGGAAGCAGTGTCTTCTATATACAACAAAACTGATATACATATGGACACACAGAGACTGTAGCAGAATACACAAGGCCTGCACAGATTCAAGCAAGACAAAATCCCAGCACTGAGTTGGGGAAGGAGACATAAAGCTACTCACAAGAAAAATCTCACAATGTATGACACCTCCAACTCTTAGCACCCTTTGCAAAGTATCCTGAAGCATTTTATATAACCGCTTATGTCAGGCAGTGTCCAGTGCACACTGGTCATATTTTCTGTACCTGTATAGCCTAGAAATCATTTTTCTGTAGCTCTATATACATTTCCACAAATAAATATTTTAATGATCACAAAGCACTTAAAAGGGACTTTTAGTTCTCAGGAACCATTTTCTACATAACAGACTCATAGCATAATGTACCTGCCAGCTACAATTTCAGATCCTGAACGAATGAATGGGAGGATCTTTCTATTTTAAAATATTGACTTTACTATCAGGGTTATCCTCAATAACTATTTCAGGTCCTAGACATTATAAAGATCTGCAAGATATCTGGATCTGGACCAGAGATGCTAATATCTAAATAGTGCAAGTGGTATTCTGATATAGCAAGGAGTAGTTGGCCATCTCATGACTACTAGAAAAGTTTGGAGGACAGAGATATGGCTCATCACGTAAAGGCCCCTACCACCGAGCCTGGTGCTGAATTTAACCCCTAGGACTTACATGGTAGAAGGAAAGAACCAATTGTTGTAAGTTGTCCTTCATTCTCCACATACATGGCACACACACAGTTAAATGTAACTAAAAGAATCTAAACAGAGAGTTAAAAAAAAAAAAAACATTACTGTTCTGAAAAGTGGTAGCAAAATTAGGGCACCAAAGTCACTAAACATTAGATTCAACCTCAGATGGGCATGGTGTTCACATGTCACTCAGATGACTGGTTTATAACTGAAATGCATTCATACAAGATAAGTAGATCTATTTTAACTTGAACAGTGAGGTTACATTTATATGTCATAATTCTGTATAACCATTATTATTACCACTATATCATT